CATTCAATTAATGGTCTTACGTAACGTAATAAATTCGCCCGATACAACGGACCGCCGGTGATTATAAATTAATTTGTCCGATAATACGACTGATTGCCTGCTGAATTACTTTATTATTCATCGTTCGATTGAATCATTTTGTTCTTTATTCCGTGCTCGCTGGACGTTGAAAAGAATTCGATCAATGAAATTACAGACATTACATCCGAGGAATAAATTGTTTGTTGACGCGCAAGAGGTTGCCGGTTAACGCTGGCACGCGCGCGAGCGCGCGCATAGTTCCCGGCGAATTTCAATGAAAAAACGATTGCCGAATAATAAAATCCCGATACGAGCCAAAGTAACGTGACCAGCGCCATTTTTTATTCCGCGATGTCAAATAATTCACGATCTGCGGCAGGCCAGTTAACGCGTTTCCTGCTGGACCGGCGACCGCAAAAATTCCCCAGAATCAAAGGACCCTTTTTTCCCCGGCGAAACATACACTCCCGGATCGATAGCGCTGGATAATCTCTCAACATTTTTCGAATCTCGTATAATCCGCTGAAATTAATTCCATTCATCCCGACAACAGGCAGATTAATATTTCGCTCCGGAAACTTTCTCGCGCAATAGAACCGCCGCGTCGGTCAACGAAATTTCACCAATTTTTCGGAATAACCCCAAATACTCGGATTTTATACTAAGCCTCCTTACATCTGTTGGTTCCCTATTTATTCGTATTTGTAGTAAAGATCAATCTCTTAATAAAATAAAACATCGTTCCTGCTTTTCATTGTCGCGGAAGAATAACTCTACGAGCGAACGCTCAAGATTCTCGTAGCGCTCGGCGCGTCAAGAGAATTTCGGAAACGCCGCGCGAACCGATCGAAACGTGGAATCCGCCGATTCATCGTACAAAAGGAAAACTGACCAACTGTCAACTCCATTCTCAGCGTCACTTTGCCGCGCACGAAGAATGCCCGATGTGTCCACTCGCTTTCCCCGCTAAACTGCAGACTCCAGCTGCGACTATAGACCGAACAGTGATCGGATCGAAAGGTCCGAGCCCGTAGAACGCTTTAAAAGGACTTCGGTTTGAGTTGGTAATGGGCGAGGCCTCTCGCTCGGCCGAAATGAAAAGGTCGTCCGAGGAGAATGCGTCCTCCGACCCCCCGGCCGCCCCCCGCTAACACCGATAATCGAGAATCGGATAAACCGTCCGACTCTGTTTGCGCCTGTTTCCAGGCGGCGTCCCCCGCTTCAACGACGTCTGCGAAGTTTCGGCGTCTCGGGAGTTTCGAAAAGAATCACGCCGGAAAAAAGGGGCGGCCGGACAGGGGCGACGGTAAATAAACGAACGGGACTGCTGGGGGATTTGTCACAAAGGTCGAAACGGGTTATCGACCGGCGCAGTGCGAACGTCTGCGGACGAACCCTCAAAATTCGAATGTACGGATAACGGAAAAGTGAATTTCACATTGTCACTGATTTACCGTTAAATAATCCTTACTATATAAAATGGTGTTTGGAAAATCCAAATTGGAAAATCCAAATTTTATGGGAATACATTCGGTTTCTGTATTTGTGCAACGTTGTAATCGAAACGCAGAATATCCATTGGGTAATTCTCATCGGTAGTACAGAAAATTTGGAAAATGTGTTCTCTAGAAGAACGAGTGTTCGAATTGATTGTTTTCCAATACTTTCGCAGGGGTATCGGACGAAATTTTGAATAATTTCCATCGCGAGAGGCGAGGCGTAGTTTCTGAAACAAAAACTGTGCTGAATACGATACGCGTCGTCCACCCTACGCGTGCCGTTCGCATGGGAGAACAGTTTGCGACCCTCTTGTCCCATTCCATTTCCCCTGTGTCCCCCTGGACGCCGCTCGACACCGCGGGATTCGGAAAATCGGTACGCGATAATGTTGCGTGTCGAAGTAGCTCGTTCCCGATTTAATTCCACGGAAAGTTGCGCTTAACGTAAACACCGGTGCGCGTTTATCGGCTCATATATTTTTACGATGCTTTTTAGTTGCGTTAAAGCGGTTCACCGATTACCCACGACGCTGAAAAATGATTAAAAAAGAAAATAATAGGAAACGAGGGGGGCGCGACGGGGAGCGAGTGGGAGAAAGGGGGAACAGAGGGAAAAAAGATAGCGTGGATCGCGCAACGCGTATCTGCTTTGTAGCAGCACCGATGCCCGTTTGTCGGATTATCCGGTCGGTTGTGTTTCGTGCCGTATACTAGGTGTCTGTGAACATTAGAATTACCGTTCCTCGGGATTTATAGAAATAACCACTCGAGTTATGCGAAAGAATCTTAAACCTAGTCCTATGTCGAGTCAGACTCGACATTCTATTTTATTGCGACCTCTACCTGTTTTAACAATTTTTTCTATATTTATTTGTAGTACCACAATTGTACCGTTTAAGGTAACATTTCAAGGACTCCCAAATATTCTTGAATAAATAAATAGAACGTCCTGTTAAGCTCTAATTGAATGAACGTCGACGTGAACCTCAAACTGAGAAACTAAGAACTTCGGACAAAGGGTTAAACGTCTTAGAAGTAAATGTATTTATCGAAAATATAATATATTCATCAGCAAATAGCTAAATAAATACACTCTTCCCTAATCGATCATTCGTCGATGATCATCCCAACAGTTTCTCAAATTCAAATTCAACGTCGCACTGTTAGCTATTTGAACACAACTGTCAATGCCAATCTCTCTGCAACTAAAAATCCTATTGTTTCAACAACCAGAGTCCCGATCGCAAGATATTTGCCAAATGCTCACGGAGGATATCTGAAACTTGCCAGTGTACTTTCCGATCAATATCCTTTTCCTCGCGGAAGGCAGGAGACTCCTTTCGAGAAGACTAAAGGAACCAAATGAAGAAGGATTTGGACACCGCAACGAAACTTCGGACCGCTTTAAACGCTCCGCGGAACAGGATCGGGGAAATCCCTGTTCCGCGACACAACTCACGTCCCGGCGAAAGTGGGGCGTTCCGAAGCGTGGACAAGATTGAAAAAGAGAGACACCGCCGTTCGATCCGCCGGGAACCGTAATCGAGGGAGTCGCTGTCGAGGCTAAGGTCCTCGCTCGTGCGTCCCCGTGCCCGGCCATCAAGCTCCTCTTCTACTTCGTCTAATTGCTCGATAAGGACGGCGACCTCGTCCACACATCTGACCCATTAATTTCGTTTAATCGACTACTCGGATCGCTAAGGAAGCGATAGCTCGCTGTCGCCGATGATTTTTAAACGGTGGAACTTCCACGGAAAACACGCAATAAGTTTCCAGCGGTTCACTGGTACCCTTAACACTGGAACTACCGGACGAATCAGGATTACTGATTTCTAGATTCTTATTTCGCCGTTGTTGATGATGATGCTTTCGTGAGAAATTTTAAAATTCAGATCATTGCTCGGTAGTTCTAGTGTTGACAGCGTCGATCAGCGAATGTAATTTTATCCTGAGCGAAGCGAAATGATAGGAAGATTCTGTTGAAGAATTTAGAATACCGAAGGAGATAAGTTCGTAATGATAGTTGGATACAAGTTATTTTTGAAGTGTAGAGATAAAGTTCAGTCGACGTTGGAGTAATTTTAGATTTCAAACTTCCGAACGATGTTTGCCTGTAATTAGGCTAGTAATTTTCACGTTGTCACTGTGTATACAGCTCGTATTCCGTTCGAATGAAAATTATGTAACTTCGTGTTCCAGGTTCCTAACTGTCGCAGCCCTCGAGCTGAGTGTTCCCTTTCTAATTGGATGTAATTAATGGAGATAGAGTAATATGTAGACTGCGAGTCTACATACATCTGTAGCAGCTAATGAAAATCTTCTCGATTCAAAGGCTTCGCGTGACGTTCCTTTATTGCTCGCTGAAATTATTGAGGGAACGGAGATGCGAGTTCTAGTTCTGGTGTCTCTACGAAAATATGAGATCGCTGTGAAACTGGTTTAAAGTTAGGTCCCGATAAAGACAGTGGAAAGAACGCTGCGAACTTTCTAGGATTAATCCGCGAGGCGTAAAGTCAAACTTCCGACCATGAAGTGGGTTATAAAATCGAGATCAGAGTGTTTAAAATAGGTTCAGATTGAAACAGGGGACGCAGGTTCTCTTAATTTTGTTCGGTTCGCGTGAAAACACGATGAAATCGTAAATAATTGAAGAACGAAGACGAAGAGATACACGAATAATTAATCGACTTGATCGAAGAAGGAACAATATGGAAACTGAGACCTTGATCGGTGATCATGAACTATCTCCATCTTTAATCGGAGAACAAGGTTCTGAGTCCCGAGGTTCCCAGCAGACAGGATGCTTAACGCTTAATGAGCTCCAATTACCCGAGCGAAAGTTTTTGAGTGATTTATCTTCAAAGATAATTTGCGACGTAAATAATGAATGTAACGCCGCGGAGGTGGTTCGCAACAACGGCAGCAGTTGTCGAACTATTAAATATTCAGTTTATCGGGGAGCCGAAGTTGCAACGCTGCGACTAATACCCAGCGAACACTTCAAAAATCAACTGAAAAGATCTAATTTACCGCGGGATTGTTTCTGGCAGGTCTGCGCGAGGTGTTAAAACCCCCACCGCCCCTCTTTCCCTCGCTCGCCACTTAACCCAATAATTAAAATACGCCAGCACGGAGTAGATAATAGTCGGATTCATAGAAAATTAAACAGAGGGGAGAATTCGAGGAAAGTATTTCCGCGAAAGTAGACGCGAGAAGGAAGAACGAATCCAGTGTCTTCGCGATTTAGCAAGAAGTCGACCAATCAATTAAAACACACCAATTACAGTCCGATTTCATAAATGGCACAATCGTCACTTATACGTGTTCCAAGCGCATCTACTCGCACAAGCAGCTTCAAAGGGAACGGAACTAAGTTAAAGAAACTCCACGGAACTCTTATCCAGCCGTCATCCAAGGAAAACACCCCCAAACAACGGTCCACCATGGAATTCCCATGTACCACTCGACAAATCCACTTACCCGAGAACCGTTCACTTATCAGCGTCCCCCGTACCGGCGCGCCGATCCTTTATCCTTAAAAGTCTGCCAACTACAATCACAATCTCGTATCCTCAGGACAAGACCATCGTCATCCTCATCCTCCTCATCATCATCATCATCATCATTATCATCACCACAGGGTACACGATAGTCACCGATCGGCACTGGTAGCGCGGAGATCCGTCACAGAAACCGCGAACGATCCACGTTCACACGCGGCCGATCCCGACTCGTCGCGGATTATCGGCTCGGGTCTCGCTGCGATCGATCAGCGACGCCGACCAAACTCGGAAAAACAAGCGAGCGGAGCGATCGCCGAAGAAAAAAACGGACGGGGAACCGAGAAAAAAAGGGAAAAATCCAGGGGACCGTTGAGAAACGCTGGAACCGATAGATCGAAGGAGGATGGCGGCCGATTCGTTTCAGGTGGAAGGCGGTATTATCGACGGTACGAAAAAAGTCTCGGCTCGAGCACGAACACGGGGAATCCCGAGGCTCAACGTCCGCGTAGCGACTGGCGCCCGACACCTCCACCCTTCCGACAACACCCCGACCACCGGCCCGGCGACAGACAGAGAACGACTGACCACCCCCGCCGGAGCGATTGAGAGAGCTGCCACCGAGCGGCGCTACCGACGGGACGAGGCAGAGGGTGGGGATTGGCTGGCTGGTTGGCAGGAGAGAGCCACCCTGCGCTGACTAGGCCGAAGGGGTGCCCGGAGTGGGGTGCAAACCGCCAGACGAGACCCCCTATCGGCGCGACGCTACCTTCCTCCGCGGGCTGTTTCTTTCTTATCCTTTCGCGATTTTATTTATTACCGGGAATCGACAGCAATTTCATTTCACCGAGGACACGCTGATTCAATTTCGCTCTAATTATACGATTCGTCGAGGAGCTCGCACCGAGCAGCTCGACAATCGGATCGCGCGACAAAGAGCGCGGAGCGGTGTCCTGTAACGTCAAGGGGTTAACCGTGCCGGCAATTCGGCTAGTCGAGTAACCGGGTGCGAAGGTGAACGAGGCGGGTGGTAGATCTTTCCTAGTGCTCGTAGACTGAAGAGGAAGACAGGAATTGGGGAATTAAGAAACAGGAATTGCTCGATTTCCAGCTGGGATGCGATGGTGCTCCTTTCTCGGTGTTTTGGACTGTTCTTCGGGCTTGTAGATTTCGGAGGGCTGATGTAGGGGTTGAAAGACGTGGAGAGCTTTGATGAGTGAAGTTACTTGGCTATTTTATTAAAAACTCTGTTTATTGATGTTGCTGTCTATCTTGACTGCGACATGAAAGAACAGATATTTTGTTGTGCGATTTTCAGTCTTTCGTTTCATAAAAATCGATTTTTTCCTATCGATTTAACTGTTCGATGTTTTCAAAAACAGGCTGAAGCTCTTCCGAGGTGAATAAATGGGAAACGATGCTGAAAACAACAAGCGATAGCGATAACCGTGTCGATTTAACGAAATTACGCGTCGCAGACCGCGGCGAACGCGTTTCCCAGCCACGCACGGGTTTCTCAGCTGCGGTGGATCCCCGCACGGCGGCCAGCGTCTTCGCAAAGCGGCGCCGCGTCTGCGCGTAGCTCTGGATCTCGTCTCGCCTCCTGATTTTTCGTAATAAAAACGTTTGTCTTGGCGAGTGACTCGGCTCACATATCTCTCGACGCGCGTCGCGCGCTGCACACGCTCTTTCTTTCCACCCTGTGCACGCACACTGCGCCGTCGACCCTTATATCGTCCCACCAACTGGCAACACCATATTCGAACCCTTAAAACCGAGCGTAAACCTCTCCGAACGTGTTACTTCGAATAAACGTATGAAATATGCATAAGGATCAGCATTGTGCCAGTGCAAGTATTAATGAGTCCCTTGAAAATTCGCTAAGTTCAGGAATTTTCTAAATATCAGAGGTTTGATATATTTTTATAGTTTGATATAGTTTTATATATATATATATATATATATATATATATAATAATAATAATAATATTTTAATAATATTTTGAATATATGTTATAATATATTTCACAATATTAATATATAAATATTTCATCTTCAAACCTCTGTTATTTAGAACACTCCTGAACGTAGCGAATTTTCAAGAGATCTATCAAACGATATCAATCAATAATATAATACACCGACATTACAAATTTGATGAAAACATTTCGCCAGCAAGCACTTCCACCGGAAAAGGGTGTGAACACCTCCCGAAAGGTGTACGACAATTACAAATGAAGAAGTGATCGCTCTTCCCCGATCACACCGCAGCAATTGGCATCGGCGAACAGTGGAACAAGGTTTCGAGAGTAGCGGGAAACGGGAATGGAAGTTCCCCGACGTCGTCGTCGTTTGCGGTGGCATTGGAAATTAAACCGATGCCACACTCCACGGTGACGCGGCGGGAACGTCGCTGATGCGCGAAATTACCGTGTTAAAGTTGAAAATGCTCCCTTATGTCCGCGGCTTCGCCCCGAACTTTAAAGACAAATACACGGCGTAATGAACGCGCCGTGTACTTCTAAGCCGAGAACTTCGAGGGGAAGAGCATATATTTTTGGACCCGGGTAATCTTTCAATTCCGCAACGGTCTCGAAGTTAAATCGACGTCCCCGGCTCGCTCGATCCGAGATTTCTTCGTCTGGCGTCCTCAAAGACACCTGGCAACTCGGAAGACACACAGCGAGAACAGGAAAGTATCCGTACAGCGTGAAACTTTGTTCCTCTGTTAATGTTAACCCTTAACGGAACAGTGCCGCCATAGAAGCGGCATGGCACTTTTATTTACTGGGCCAAATGCTAACAAAAGTGACTTTATTATTTTTATCACTGTTATTTTTGTAATATTTAGAATTAAGAATCTAGGTCGTTTCTGTGAATTTCTTTCAGCTTGTTATCTATGTCAGGGTATTTTCTGGTAACTAAACTTGAAATACTTCCGGCCCGTTAAGGGTTAATACTGGAATAACGTAAATTAATCGTGAACATAATCTCTAAAGAACGTAACTCATTATCGAAATACAAAGTAAAATACTGTAGATACAAAACAACCTTCGTTCTTCAAATTTATATAGAGAACAAGTGAATTCGCAGACGGAAACGTTTGAATAAATAAACAATGCGATTGAGTTATTTATTCGCGTGTATAAACAAATGAACGATTCAATTATTCGTATTCGCGAGTCTATTTTTCTTTCGCTGCACAGATCGAAATTAATTGAATCGATACGAACGACGGATTTTTATTTAGTCTCTCTTGTTAAATCTATTTTATTCTTCGTTTATTTTCTATTTCTTTTATCGCCGACAATATGTTTCGATAAACCGTGTCGAATGGAACGTTAAGTGGTATTGGTCCGCTAAGGGAGCAGAGGCGTAACAATTCGCGACGCGTCACTCAGGGCCACGTGCCGGAACTATTAATCGAGATGAGAATGAAACGTAAATTATATCCCATTACGGAGGAGGAACAACTTCGTCGCGATAAACTTCATTAAGAGCGGCGGGTAACGCTTTAATGGAAACTTCTATCCGAGATGAAAGCCCCGGCAAGATTTCTCGCTGCGAGGAAACGTGCCACGTGGCGAACGCTTCGAACGATATTTCAACCCTTTCGCCGCCATTTCGTTCCGTGCCATTCCCCCCCGTTGACCCTGACTCTTTTTCTCCCCATTGTCATTCCACTGTGTGCCGTGGAAGATGGGCTGAAATCTCGGAAGACTTCTTTTCGAGGCGACCTTTAACCCCTTGCCCTGTAATAACGAGCCAGACTCGTGCGAAAGGTTACGAAATTAACCTCTAACTTTACCCTGAATTTCATAAATATTCTTTTAAATTCAAATGAAATATTATCCTCCTCGTCGAGTATTATATTTTAAAGCGAATATAAATTATGAATTTGTTGGAAATTATTCGAAATTTGAATAATTTCGTGGACCTTACGCTTCTTCTCTTAACAATGAACGAAAAAGAGTCGTTCCCACTGAGAATTATTCGAGATTTTGCTAATTTAGAGGTGGCATCTCTGTTCTGAATAACGTAATGAACGCTAACGAGCGAATGTGCATTATTAACTGGTATTATCGCGAAGAATCTTTTGCCAACTACCGTCATAGGAATAAAGTAAAAAACGCTGTCAGCGAAAACAATTTTGTACATAGGGACAATAATAATAAATACGCTTTTTCCAACCTAGTCGACACCTCGTTCGAAATATCGATCACACGCACATTTTCGAAACGGACTGCACCCTCCCTTCATTACAGTTTTGATTGCGATCGTTCGAAATTGTAAATCATGTTTTCACGATGATGCAGTCCCGAGGAACAACACGTCCGACACGTCGAAATGTAGGCCGAAAACTTTCTGCGGCCGGTTGAAACGGTAAAAAATGGTGATTTTCGTTCTTTCAATTAAACTGAAAATATGAAAACAACGGGCTTCGCGCGGAATGAAAATTAATTGAATGCAGCTGCACTTAATTGAAGCTTGATGTACGAGATATCGCCGTGGACCGTTTTCATGGTGCCGGGTTTTTATATTCATTTTTCTCCCCCTCCTTTTCCCCTGGTTAGATGACTGCGCCGCTACAGTTAACAATAATGTAATATTTCGAAATGAAACGCGAGGGGGAGGGGAGGCGATGTTCCAAGCAGTCTCGATCTATTCATTTCTGCACAATGAAGTCGTTTGAAAAACAATAATGGCAACAACGCTGCGAAAGTTTAATAACAGCCTCGATGACTGTAGCTCGCCTTTCATGCAATAATTGCCGCTCGCAGGCTACGACTGTCAGCATGTTAAATGTATTTTATTATCATACTACAAAACGCGGACGTAGAAAAATCATTCCCGTCAAACACCTCAATATTTCAAGTTAAATAAAAATAATCATTTCTTCCTCTATATACGCGACATTGAACCCATCAAGCGAAAGTGCCATGCTTGTATAGCAACGTAGCTCCGTTAAGGGTTAATTTAACATAAATATTCACGACAGATTTACAGAAAGTTCCATTGAATCTAATAAAACTCTAAAAACGTACAAAGCACTCCGAAATGAATGTTCGTGTCCTCCCGATCTGTGCTCTTTCGTTCGCAACGCGAAAGCGCCTGATAAAAGGGGAAAGAAATTCATCTAATCACGATTCGAGCACGTTTTATCTCCGCCATTTCCTTGACCCTTCCGCCGAGCGAACCCCCTCCACGGTCGGGCATCCCTAAAGGGATTCGCGTGTCCCATTAAATCAGAAGTTGGCGAACTTTTTCTCCTGAAACGATCGAACGAGAATCCGGCCGGAATTCGCCGGATCAAAAAGGGAGTTACGCAAGACCGGCACGATAATAAGCCCCCTTAATTAACTTTCGGGTCCGTGTGTTCCGTGGAACGCGGTCACGTGATCGCACTCCCGAAGAGAGAATGGCGGCGACCCCTCCGACCCCTTCTTACGTTCTTCCGCGTGGCTTCCTTCTCTCCTTCCTCGCCCCTCTTCTGTCTCCGTTCCTCCCGCGTGAACAGATTTCTCGGGATTTAATTCATTTTTAACGAAGCGTGCCCGCGCCGCGC